TGAACACATAACCTGTTGTGCTCTTTCCTGAATCCACACATCCACCCAAATCAGCATCGGCGAACCCTTCTAAGATCACACCCTTTCTTCTGAAACATAGGGCAACCTCAGATGTTCCTTTCAAGTAGCGTAACAACCACTTTACTCCCTCCCAATGCTCTTTTCCTGGATTTGACATGAACCTGCTCACAACTCCCACTGCATGAGCAATGTTTGGTCTGGTGCATACCATAGCATACATCAAGCTACCAACTGCAGATGCGTAGGGAACTTTAGTCATATGTTCCTTGTCTTCTTCCGTCTTTGGGGATTGCTTCTTTGAAAGTCTCAACTGACTTCCCAAAGGTGTACTTCTGGCTTTAGCATCTGCCATGCTGAACTTTTCTAAAACTTTCTTGATGTACTTAGCTTGTGAAAGTTTTAGTGTACCGATAACTCTGTTTCTGGCTATACTCATGCCCAATATCTGCTTAACAGCCCCTAGGTCCTTCATCTCGAACTCTCTGGACAACTGCTTCTTAAGCTTGTTGATCTCCTGCATGTCGGACCCAGCGATCAACATGTCATCAACATACAATAAAAGGATGATGTATGAGGAGTTGAATTTCTTCAAGTAACAACAGTGATCCATCTCACATCTGTTGTACCCACTCCTTTGCATGAAGCTATCAAACTTCAAGTACCACTGTCTTGGAGCTTGCTTCAATCCATACAGACTTTTCTTCAGTTTACACACCAGATTTTCCTTACCAATTGTGGGAAACCCCTCTGGTTGTGTCATGTAGATGTCTTCTTTCAGGTCACCATGGAGAAAAGCTGTCTTCACATCTAGCTGCTCTAGATGGAGATCTTCAGAGGCTACAATACCTAAGACCATTCTGATTGTAGTCATCTTTACAACTGGAGAGAAGATTTCATTGTAATCAACTCCTCTCTTTTGTTGAAACCCTTTTACTACCAGCCTTGCCTTGTATCGTTTGGTGCCATCAATCTCATCTTTAACCCGAAACACCCATTTGTTCTGCAGTGCTTTCTTCCCTGTCGGGAGCTTGACCAAGGACCAAGTATGGTTCTTATCAAGTGAGCTCAACTCGTCTTCCATATCCTTCTTCCACTGTATGGAATCTTTCATCCTCAAGTCCTCTGGATAAGATTCAGGTTCACCATTCTCTGTCAACAACAAGTAATTAGCTGAAGGAGAATACCTGACTGGAGGTCTTCGTACTCTAGTGGATCTAGGAATAATAGGAGTTTCGGTTTCTGCATCATCTGCAACCTCATCCTCTGAACTACTATCCACTATGCTCCCATTATCTCCAGATAGATCTGAGCTCCCACTACTTCCTGAACTTTCACCTATCTCTGGAGTACTAATAGGTTTTACAACATCATCATCTGAGATTTCTTCTAACTCAACTTGATCCTTCTTTTCTGGTTGCTTGTCACTATTGGAGCTTTTTGCAAGTTCATCCTTGTATAGAGCATTCTCGTTGAACAGCACATCCCGACTTCTGATAACCTTCTTATTCTCATTATCCCAGAAGCGGTACCCCATGTCATCCAACCCGTAACCTATAAAGGTGCACTTCCTTTCCTTTGCCTCTAGCTTGTCTCTCTCTGAGTCTTTAACTTTGACATATGAGACACAACCAAATACCTTCAAGTGTTTGAGCGAAATCTCCCGACTTTGCCATTCTTCTTCTGGAATCTTGAACCCTATGGGGACTGAGGGTCCTCTGTTGATTAAATATGCAGCTGTGTTGACCGAATCTGCCCAAAACATCTTGGGTAAACCTGCATGTAGTCTCATGCTTTTATCCCTCTCGTTCAATGTGCGGTTCATCCTCTCTGCTACTCCATTTTGCTGAGGTGTCTCTGGAACCGTCTTCTGCATTCTGATTCCTTGGTCAGCACAATAATCAACAAATTCTTTGCTACTGTATTCGTCCCCATTGTCTGATCTGAAACACTTGATTTTCAAGTTTGTTTCATTCTCTACAATAGCTTTCCATTTCTTGAATGTGCTGAAACCTTCAGACTTATGCTTCAAGAAATAAACCCAAACTTTCCTTGTGCAGTCGTCAATGAAAGTAACGTAGTATCGAGACCCTCCCACTGAAGAAACTGAAGTGGGACCATAAACATCTGAATGAACTAACTCCAACTTTATAGACTTGGGCGGATGACCTATCTTTGTGAAAGTAACCTTCTTCTGTTTACCTAGAATACATGGCTCACAGAAGTCAACTGTCACAGTCTTCAGATCTGGTATTCTTCCTTTGGATGCTAGCATCTTCATTTCTTTCTCACTCATATATCCAAGTCTTTGGTGCCATAGAGTGGATATACCAACTTCTTCAACAGCATGTACTTCAGCATCAGAAACTTCCACCATATATAGTGTACCCCGCTTCTGACCTTTAGCAACAAATAAGTTTCCCTTTGTCACTTTCCACTGATGATCACCAAATGTAACATGGTGACCTTCATCATCAAGCTGCCCCACAGATATTAACATCCTCTTCAAGTCTGGAATGAACTTGACATTCTTCAAAGTCCACTTCGTACCCAAGGTTGTCTTGAGGACCACATCCCCAACTCCAGTAATATCCAGGCTCTTGTTATCTGCTAATCTGACTTTCCCTTTGTACTGCTTGAAATTATACATTACTTCTCTGGAATGACTAGGATGAAACGACACACCAGAATCCTGTTGGGACTAGTAGAGCCTTAAATACCATAGTTCAAGGGCCAATATTGAAACTTTACAATTACTTTATTCACGTGTGAAGGAGTAAATTAGTGAATGTCGGCAGAAGGAAATTTCTACGATTCATTTATTGGTGCGTGGTCAAAAGGGATTAATGGACGGCAAATTTATTTCAACAATTGTGGCTTTATATTTCACATATGTGTGAATCAAAATTAAAGTTACGGCTCTTGTTAGTATAAATATGTGCACCAGCAAGCAGATAAAAAACATAACATCATAGAGAATAGATACACATATAAATTAGTGAGATATTAATTTTTGTGCAGAGCCTTAATTTTTGGCAGCCAAAAATTACGAGTGATATCTTACAGTGAGTGATCAGATTACAAGAGCAGTTTTAGCCTTGTATGATTGTAATTTTCTTTGATGTTAATAAAATCTTCTCTCTCTCGTTCGCCCGTGGATGTAGGTCAGATTAGACCGAACCACGTTAAATACCGTGTTCAATTTCGTTTGTAATTTTCAGTAGTTTTTATTCTGCAAGTGTTACCGAAATCATTTATTAATTTTTCAGAAGTGTTTAACTTGTTTTGTTGCATTCCCAACAAATCCATGATCCAGGATTCAGTTGAGTTTTCGACACAACAAATGAGCGCATCATCTTCAGAATCTGCTGCCATATTTACTTCCTTCTTGCCTTTGTCTGCCGAACGCTTTGGGCACTGATTTCTGAAATGACCTTTCTCATTACAGTTCCAACAGGTAATATCTTTCATGTTCTTCGACTGACCTCTCTTTCTTGACTTCGATCTTCCTCTACCACCACCTCCTCTGTTGATCTTTCTTCCTCTGCCTTCAGTAGTTAGAAGACTACTGGAAGCTTCTCCGGCACTCCTTCTGCGCACATCCTCACCAAGGATTAAATCGTGAATACCTTCAAATGATAGTTTGGCACCTCCGGATGAACTGCTAACGGCTGTCACTGTGTCGGACCAACTATCGGGTAACGATGATAATAGTAGCAACGCCATGACTTCATCTTCAAATCCAATATCAATAGATATCAATCTTGATATTATTGAATTGAATTCGTTCACGTGGTCTGTCACTGAGCTACCCTCCTTCATCTTCAGATTTACAAGCTGCCGAATCAAGAAAACCTTATTTGCTGCCGAAGGTTTTTCGTACATATTAGACAGCGCATTTATCAGATTGTAGGTTGTCTTCACATTGACAATATTGTAAGTGACATTCTTTGCCAATGACAACCTTATCACTCCGAGTGCCTGCCGATCTAATAAGTCTCACTCCTCCTTCGTCATTGCTTCTGGTTTGTCTTTGGACAAAGGTTGGTGTAACTTCTTCTGGTAGAGATAATCTTCGATTTGCATTTTCCAGAAACCGAAATCTTGACCATCAAATTTTTCGATCTTAACTTTCCCATCTTCAGCCATAGCTCTGATACCAGTTTGTTGGGAATGCAACAAAACAAGTTAAGCACTTCTGAAAATTGATAAATGATTTCGGTAACACTTGCGGAATAAAAACTACTGAAAATTATAAACGAAATTGAACACGGTATTTAACGTGGTTCGGTCTAATCTGACCTACATCCACGGGCGAACGAGAGAGAGGGGATTTTATTAACACCAAGGAAATTACAATCATACAAGGCTAAAAAACTGCACTTGTAATCTGATCGCTCACTGTAAGATATCACTCGTAATTTTTGGCTGCCAAAAAATTAAGGCTCTGCACAAAAAATTAATACCTCACTAATTTATCTGTGTATCTACTCTCTATGATGTTACATGGTCGTTGTGTTGTTGTGTTTATCTCTGCTTGCTGGTGCATATATTTATACTAACAAGAGCCGTAACTTTAATTTTGATTCACACATATGTGAAATATAAAGCCGCAATTGTTGAAATAAATTTGTCGTCCTGCACCAATAAATGAATCGTAGAAATTTCCTTCTGCCGACATTCACCAATTTTCATTTTCACATGAGTCGGTGATAGTGACGTTCACCCAACAATTCAATTCAATTGTTAATTGCCAAGTTACATTTATGGCCCTTTAGCTCTTGAGAACTTGTCAATTTGTTCATGACTCCATAAATCTTAACAACTCTTATCTCGCCCCGGGTATTAGAAACCAATGGACCCTGGGGGATTAAAGTAAATGTACATGTACCTTGTGTATATATGTTGAATCATCACAACAAATGAAACAAGTCCAATGATTAATCGGACGAAACCAAAATGTTGAAATGCTGAAAATGTTTCTACTGCATTTTCATGTCGATCTACAGTTTTGCATCTAACATACAAATTGCAAGAATTAGCCAATATGTAGCTATGATTTATGATCACGAAGTTTAAGCTTACCGTTGATGGTTCAAAACCAAACCCAGGCCCAATACTGAAAATGCATCTGGTTCTCCCCGGATAATCAGGCAGGCTTTGTTTGCGCCTAATTGAAGGGTTCCATAGACTAATTCCCTTCTGATACTCACTCAAACAGAAAATTCCATCACATGAACCAACAATTGTGAAAGCTCTGCTACAAGGAAACTGGACTGCTTTTATACCATTGTATCCACCTGTGGGACACAATGGCAATTGGTCTTCTGAATGTAATGTATAAAAGTCATCTGAAAATAATGTATATAAGTAGTGCTCAAGGCCATATACTTCGTAATTAAGATGATGTCTGAAGAGGAGTTTTTGTGTGGATCGAGAAGTATGAATGTGGATGAAAGAGGGGCTATAAATACAAGAATACCATGATTTGGAGAGTGATCTAAACCGGAGGAGGGATTTGGCTGGTAGTCTTGTGAAGATTTTATTAATCAATTCTTCGCATAGATATTCTGACATTCTGTAATTCTGCATTTTTCCAAGGAGGTGAATATTCAGTAATAATGGGATGCAATCAAAACCATCAGAAAATAGAGAGAAGCTTCACGAGTAGCACAAAAGATATATCAAACCATTTTCGAAAGAACCATGTTTGAATCAAATTCGTAAATAGCATCAAACCAAGTTACGTTCTCCTAAAAATATCATTTACATCATCTAGGCACAGTTGTCATCCAAATTTAAAACTCACTCAATAGTGAGGAAATTTACAACTCGCAATTATCACTAGTTTTGAATGGAAGCCATGACAGCTAAATATCCCATTCATATCATTTTAACACATTTATATAATTGAATCGATAAGTGTGTTAAAATGATATGAAAACCGACTGCACTTTTATTGAAGCCGTTTACTGGATATTATGTGTATACAAATATTCAAATTGTAGTTATCTAAGAAAAATATCTAATATAGTTTCAAAAAGATATATTATATATATGATTGTTAGTCATCATCGCATTAATTAGAAGGCAACAAAATAGAATTTTAAAGGGGAACCGATCTACGGTTAAAATCACTCACCAAATAAACGAAGAAGAGGAACAGTAAACTGATGCAGACGAAGAACGCTATGGAGATCGACCGAGTCGTTCTAGGGCTTAGTTAGGTTTAATTTGAGCTCAATATTCCCCATATAATTTCTTCCATGTTTTCTTTTTGTGAATAATCGTTATAAATTTATTTTTGTATCAAAGGTCTAGCCTGAGATGCCAACGTACAGCCAAAGGTTGGGTTTGAGGGTTACGTGTGATGTGGAGGGTAATGCTTAATGCATCGGTGGAATTTTTAAGTAGATTTGGTATGGAGTCATGGAGTGGTATCATCTTTGTTTTATACTTTTTTTTTGCTGCCATTTCAGCGTGATATCAGATTTGACATACTTTATTTCTTTTATGCTATTTCCTTTTTGCCATTTGAAAAGAATTTGTCATGTTATTTTTTTCAAACAACCTATTTCTAATAAAACCTAAAAATTCCTTTAATTTAAAAAAAACAATAATACATAATTAAACATAAAAAAAAACACCTAATATATAATTAAAAAACATCGAATACACAACAATAATAATAATAATACACCGATATGAAGAACGAAAAAAGTAGAAATTATATATATATATATATATATATATATATATATATATATATATATATATATATATCTACCTCTCTAATAAAAGAATTCTCTCTGCCACGTGTCATTCTAATCTTTGATTTTCAGCAAATGTGAAATTCCTTTTTTGCCCCTTATTCTTATAATAGTCTCGATTACATGTCCAGCTCATTTGATTTCCGTAACAGATATCCTATTTTAATGTTAATATTCACGTCTACAAAGAGTTGATTACTTACCATATTCAATCTTCCCAAAAATTCTATACTGAAATCGTCAATTTCAATTTTGAAATTAAATCTCATCATCTCCCCTATACACCCCGTTCCTGAGTTCAACTTAAGAAGAGAAAGGAAAGGAAATGGATGGAAATGAGAAGAAAATAAAAGAAATTGGTGTTCCCGAATTTCATTAAAGGAGAGAATTGGAAGGAAGTGGAGGAAAATGGGAGGATCATTTTCCCTCCTAACTTTCCTTCCGATTTGGGAGGATTTGTAAAGAAAGAACAAAATGATTTATTTTCCTTCCACTTCTCTCCAACTCGGGAACACAAAAGAGAATTTTGTTTTCTTTTCCTTTCTCTTCTTTTCTCTCGTGACTTTTTTTTCTCTTCTCTTCTTTTTTCTTTTGTTAAACTTGGGAACGAGGCGATACTGTCGCCTACGGTATAACCATTTTTCTCCAATTCTTCTCTCTTGCTCTCCTAATCAAACTGATTAATATTGTCTGCCCTCTCTCTCTCTCTCTCTCTCTCTCTCTCTCTCTCAATATTGAATCAGAGTTACTAGAGATTTAGGTGATACTGCAAGTTGCATCAACATTTCACACTCGGTGTCAGTCAATCTTCTTGTGGTATGTATATTAATGTTAGTCATCTCGCATGTCAATGTTGGATGAAGATGGCGATGATGGCCATCATATCACTTTCTCATTCCTACCTCGTCTAAGGTAACTGTGTCCCATAAAAGCAGCCATCCAAAGGTAATCACGATATTATTGTTGTTTTTATTCCTAAACCCTATATAGCCGCAGTTTTTGAAGGGATGGTACTGTTGGGGTTAACAAAATTAAAATCTATCACTTCAGTTCATCATTTTTCATATCAGATTTTATAAATCGATTGTAACCATTGCTTCAATTTCCATGTTGCAGCACCTGCACGTGTTGATCTCCTTGCACTAATTGACGTCATTGTTCATCCAGGAATCACCGAATTCGATCTATCAGAAACTTTATTTTTCAGGTAATTTGTTTTTCTTCGTTTTCTTCAATGAAACTAAAAAATCTAAACGATAATCTTTGAATTCTTTATCTTCTATGATCTGGATATAAAAACACTAGGTTCTTAACATTCCCATGACGATTAAAAAATGAACAACGGAAATTCTAACTTCGATGGAGCTTAGTTGTTCATTTTGTTTATGAAAACGGATTAGTGTTCAGTCCAGAAGTTCTTTACCGCATAGAAGATGATATCAATGAGAAATTCACCACTGGACTTTCTCAATTTGTTGCATTATCATTGGGCATTAACTACCATTCGTTAGCTGCAGCACCACATATGATCATGAATGGCTACAAGAAGTTTTTATCTATTGTTGTTTCTATTGAGTATTCCTTCAAACATGCTCAAAAAGTCAAGGAGTATTTGAAGGTGACCACTATTTTTTTGATTTTTGATGTTAAGTGCCGGTGGTTTAATATTTTGAAATAATAAGTTTGATATGGATATATGATCATCATTAATGAGTGGTGGGATCCAAGTAAATTTGTAATAACAACAACACCAGTTTTATGTAAGTATGTTTTTTGCATAGGCTGAGATCACAAATCTAATATATGTAGCTATGGAACTTCCATTTTCTTCTTCCTTTTTGGATTATAACATTTAATATGTTGTTTTTTGATATTTTAGTTCTTGGTTTGTTTACACTACTAGAAAATCTGAAAATACCTACGGCAAAATCCGTAGGTATAGGGTGTTACCTACGGAATTGCGACGGAAAATGGGCCGTAGCATAAATGCTCGTGGGTAAATTTTACCGACGGAATTGTGACGGATTACCTACGGAATACCGACGACACTTTTCCGTAGGTAATTTACCAACGGAATACCTACGGAATGTTTTACCGACAGATTTCCTACGGAATAGCAACAAAACCTGGTTTGACCAACTTACCAACGGAATTCCGACGGAATATTTACCTACGGAATTTCTGTCAGTAATCCGTCACTAAATTAGTAAAAAAAATTAAAAAAAAATCAGTTTTTTCTGCCTAAAATGCAGAAAAAACCCAATAGAATAACCTTATAATAAAATTCTTATTCAACCAATATAAGTCAAACAAATACAATGTATTTCACAAAAATATCTTAAATACAAGTCAATATAATTCATACAAATACAATGCATTTCACTTCTCTTATCCTACTTTGTATAAAATATTCCTTGTACTTAATTTACATCGAAAATCATAAAAACTAGGGAAGAATCCCCGCTTTGCTGGGTTGGACACGCCAAAGAGTCCATCACAGTTACTTTGTACATGTATCCGACAGAGTACTTGTTGATAATAAAATGCAAAAAACAGAGTATCTGTTCCAATGTTATCAGATCCTAGTCTTTCCCAAAATGCTGGATTATTAACAATTGGAGTCTGCACTTGAGGGTAGAACTGTGGGGTCACAGCCGGATGTCAGCTTTCATATGGCCAACATCTACTTAAAGTACATTGTTATTTTAAAAAAAATAGTCAGAAAAAATTGTAAAGGAAATGGGTTTTTGTAAAACTTACTGGTTGACATGAGTGTCTGTTGACCGGACTGTGAATGGGTCAAAATAGGTTGTAGTGCAAACCACCAATTGATTATTGATCAGATAAGCATAACATCAAGCACAAATCAAGATTGAAAACCGAATATGATATCATATCTTTATAAAAAATAAAAAATAATAATAATTAAAACTTCCAAAAGAAAAAGGTGTATTTGTTGTTAATATCAAATTTGCATACTTGGGAGTCCAGAAACATTATCAGTTGCCAAGGGAGTTATAAAACCATAATCAGAGTGTGCACCAGCTCCATATATTCCTTCAAAGGGTCTGATACTTGGCCTACAAATGGTTACTTGCAACAAATTGAGTAGAGCCTTACACCTGTAAAAGTAATGTCAGCAAATTAAAGAATGCATACTTTAAGGCTATGAGTAATCATAATTCGATTCACCTTTAAACTAACGGTCCGAGATAAAAAAAAAATTACCACGCATCCCAAATAAAATTACACCCGCACACTCACCTTCTTCTTCGAACACATACCAATGTTTTGGCCAAAACCCATAAAATCATCCACATCACCATATGTTATCATTGTCTTCTGCACACAGTAGAACGATAGATATACAAATTAAGAATTATAAGCATAATTGTTAAGAATCTGAAGAAATATTGATTTTATACAGCTAAGATATTCAAAAATTCATGGAATTGAAACATGAATACCATAGAAAATCAGGAGAATGTTCCAAGAAAAATTTCTATCTGTGCAACAAAAATTCCAAACTATCAATAACAAAATCAAAATCAAGTAAAAGTTAACACTAATATTTTATGTATCCTATCTAGAGTATATGATGTGGGTATTAGTTTCACTGATAAACAAACAGCTATCACAAATAAAACTCCAAACAAAAAACCTTGTGGAATGAAATAAATCCTTGAGTTCATGATGAAATTTTTTAAACTGCTTAACAAATGCTGCATTGTATTCACCGGAATTCTGAGATATTCTTTCAAGCATTGCAACAGTAACTGATATTTCTACCTAAATTAATACCTCTGATTTCAAAACGTTTTCGGTAAGCTGGAATGAGATATGAAAGTTTTGTGAGAGCTCAGTTCTGAAGTATTTTCCCCCAATTTTCATGCTACTGGTAGGAACTCTGTACATAGAGGAAAGTGATTGGTCACAAAAAAAAAAAGAGAAGCGAGAAAGGAAATTTATACAAAAATAATCCGGTTACAATACCTCAGTATCATTTTTAATGCTAATAATAGTGGTATATTGAATAAAAAACCACAATTTTCTCTTAAGCATTTCATCAAGCAAGTGGAAGACAAACTAATTGTTGATAAAAATGCGACATACCAGAAAGGGTTTAGCTGTTGGGTATGACGATGGACCTTTGAAGACGGTCGCCGAGCTGTTCGGTTTTATCCCAACGTTACCACCTCTTTTTCCCTTCTGATTCGCTGCTGCCATTTAGAAATTACACCATCATCACAATCACCGAGCGAGCAGTCGTTTGGAGGAGTGTAGAGGGTTTTCGAGAGGCGGTGTAAAGCTGATGGTTGTTGTGAGAGTTCTGGGCAGCGAGGAAGACAGAAGAAGCGGAGTCTTTGTGGAGCTTTCAAAGGGCGGAAACGTAGGTGGTGGGTGATAGCGGTAGATCAGGCGGTGGAAGAAGCAGAAGAAGATAACAAAATGGAGAAGAAAACAATCAATCGGGGGTGAAATCGATCGATGGGCGGTAGGATATCGAGTTAAGAGCCGATAGCTACCGATCCAATTCTTATTGGATAATAGAGTAGGTGTGTAAGGGGGAGGTGCGAGTAGAAACAGTGAGAGAGAAGAGGGAAAACGAATCAGGGAGGGAGATTGAGAGAAGCGGGAGAATAAAAATTTTCGTCATGAAGCTGACAAAAGTTTCGATTTTGTGAAACCCTAAAATCGAAAATGCCAAAAAAAGGGTGTTGGTGAGACTCCAACTCGAGTCTATCGTGGATGCAACCAAAGGGACTACCAACCGACCGGAAATGCCATATCCATACCTTATTTGTCTACAATAGTTTTTGATCACTTACAATTCCGTTATTATTATTATTAATATTTTTATTATTGTTATTATTATTATTATTATTATTTCTATTATTATTATAATAATTATATTATTATTTTCATTATTATTATTATTATTATTATTATTCATTATTCGAGTCTTAATTTTTTTTTTTGTGGATAAATTTTCTTACATATTTAAGATACGAACAGTTAATAGAAGTGTGAAAAAAACGAAGAAAAACGACCTTTGGTCGCCGAAAAATCGAAATTAAAAAACTTCGTAGCTAATTAACTACGGATTAGCTACAAATTATTTTTATTTTCGATTTTTCGGGCACCAAACATCGTTTTATCCGCTTTGTTTTTTTCATACCTCTATTATACATGATGCATTTTTGATGCATTTTTTAATATAGCAACATAGTCCAAATAAAAAAAATTCGCGCTGATACCAGGTCAGCTCGATCCCAGCCAGGGGCTGCCCCCGGACCCCCGTTCGTTTAGGGGCTTCTCCCCTAGATAACAATGTACTTTGAATCTTGAAAAACTTGAACAAGCGTGCACTCCTACACCATCCTAATTTGTTCAATATTCAACAAGATCACTTTTGGTCAACAATTTTAATCATATTAAACTTAAATAATATTGATGATATAAAATCACCAACAAACCTCCCCCATTTAAGTGTAATCCTGATTAAACTTAAAACAAAACATAAACAACAACAAACTGATGCATAAATGATGACGATGAGGATGATGACGATGATGATGATGATGATGACGATGATTATGACTATTAATAGTGTGATGGTGATGGTGATGGTGGTGGTGATGGTGATGGTGGTGATGATGGTGATGGTGATGGTGATGGTGATGGTGGTGGTGGTGGTGATGGTGGTGGTGATGGTGATGGTGATGGTGATGGTGATGGTGATGATGGTGATGGTGGTGGTGATGGTGATGATGGTGATGGTGGTGGTGATAGTGATGGTGATGGTGGTGATGGTGATGGTGGTTGTGATGGTGGTGATGGTGGTGGTGATGGTGGTGGTGGTGATGGTGATGGTGGTGATGGTGGTGTGATGGTGGTGGTGATAGTGATGGTGATGGTGATGGTGATAGTGATGGTGATGGTGATGGTGATGGTGGTGACGGTGGTGGTGGTGATGGTGATGGTGGTGATGGTGATGGTGATGATGGTGGTGGTGATGTGTGATGGTGATGGTGATGGTGATGGTGATGGTGATGGTGGTGATGTTGATGTTGATGGTGATGGTGATGGTGGTGATGATGATGGTGATGGTGATGGTGGTGGTGATGGTGGTGATGGTGGTGCTGATGGTGGTGGTGGTGATGGAGATGGTGGTGATGGTGGTGATGATGATGGTGGTGTGATGGTGGTGGTGGTGATGGTGATGGTGGTGGTGGTGATGCTGATGGTGATGTTGATGGTGATGGTGATGGTGATGGTAGTGATGGTGGTGGTGGTGATGGTGATGGTGATGGTGATGGTGATGGTGGTGGTGGTGATGTTGATGGTGATGGTGATGGTGGTGATGATGGTGGTGATGGTGATGGTGATGGTGATGGTGATGGTGATGGTGATGGTGGTGGTGGTGATGGTGATGGTGATGGTGATGGTGATGGTGATTTTGATGGTGATGGTGATGGTGGTGATGGTGATGGTGGTGGTGATGTGTGATGGTGATGGTGATGGTGGTGATGGTGATGGTGGTGATGTTGATGATGGTGATGGTGATGTGTGATGGTGATGGTGATGGTGATGGTGATGGTGGTGATGGTGATAATGGTGATGGTGATGGTGATGGTGGTGATGATGATGGTGGTGTGATGGTGATGGTGGTGGTAGTGATGGTGGTGGTGGTGATGCTGATGGTGATGGTGATGGTGATGGTGGTGATGGTGGTGGTGGTGATGGTGATGGTGATGGTGATGGTGATGGTGATGGTGGTGGTGATGTTGATGGTGATGGTGATGGTGGTGATGATGGTGGTGTTGGTGATGGTAATGGTGATGGTGATGATGATAGTGATGGTGATGGTGATGGTGGTGGTGGTGATGTTGATGGTGATGGTGATGGTGGTGATGATGGTGGTGATGGTGATGGTGATGGTGATGGTGATGGTGATGGTGGTGGTGGTGGTGGTGGTGATGGTGATGGTGATGGTGATGGTGATTTTGATGGTGATGGTGGTGAAGGTGATAATGGTGATGGTGATGGTGGTGATGGTGGTGATGGTATGTGTGAATGTATGTTTCTGTGGGTATATATGAATGTATGTTTCTATGGGCATATATGAATGTATGTGTCAATGTGTATATGTATGTATGTATATGTACATATGTTAATGTGATTGTAATTTTAAAATGTGAAATGAGTAACCGATCAAAATGAGTGCGCCACTATAAACATCTAGGTATCAGGTATAAGTTGGGAAAACTATAGATAATCATTTATAATAGAGATACGAAAAAAACGAAGCCAAAAAAACAACGTCCGGGTGCCCGAAATGTCGAAAATAAAAAAAATCCGTAGGTAATCCGTAGGAAATTACCGACGGAATAGCGACGGACAGCCCCTTCCGTAGGTAATCCGTAGGAAATTTCCTACGGAAGGGGCTCTCCGTCGCTATTCCGTCGGTAATTTCCTACGGATTACCTACGGATTTTTTTTTTATTTTTGACATTTCGGGCACCGGACGTTGTTTTTTTTGCTTCGTTTTTTTCACACCTCTATTATACATGATTATATATACTGTCACCAAATTATACCTAATATGTATGTGTGTATAACCACGTGCACCTTTAGATCCGTCACTCCTTTCGCACAGTTACTCCTTTCACATACATTCACACATACACACATATGTACATATACATACATACACATACACAATTACACAAACATTCACATATAACCATAGACACTTACATTCATAGAAGTTGGTCAATGTGTTTATGTATGAATATATGTGTATGTATGTATATGTGTGTATATGAATCTATGTGTATGTGTGAATGTGTGTCTAAGAATGTATGTGTGAATGTATGTTTCTATGGGTATATATGAATTTATGTTTCTATGGGCATATATGAATGGATATGTTAATGTGTATGTGTGTGTATATATATGTACATATGTTAATGTGATTGTAATTTTAAAGTGTGAAATGTGTAACCGATCAAAATGAGTACGTCACTATAAACATCTAGGTATCAGGTATAAGTTGGGAAAACTATAGATAATCGTTTATAATAGAGATGCGAAAAAAACGAAGCGAAAAAAAATGACGTCCGGTGCCCGAAATGTCGAAAATAAAAAAAATCCGTAGGTAATCCGTAGGAAATTACCGACGGAATGGCGACGGAGCACTCCTTCCGTAGGTAATCCGTAGGTAATTTCCTACGGATTACCTACGGAAGTGCATTTCCGTCGCTATTCCGTTGGTAATTTCCTACGGATTACCTACGGATTTTTTTTATTTTCGACATTTCGGGCACCGGACATTGGTTTTTTCGCTTCGTTGTTTTCACACCTCTATTATACATGATTATCTATACTATCACCAAATTATACCTAATATATATGTGTGTATAACCACGTGCACCTTTAGATCCGTTAATCCTTTCGCATAGTTATTTCTTTCACATACATTCACACATACATTCACATATTCCCATAGAGACATACATTCATATACACACATATACATACATACACATACATTCACACGTAGTAATAATAATAATAATAATAATAATAATAATAATAATGGTAATAATAATAAAAATAACGAAAATAATAATAATAATAATAATGATAATAATAATATAATAATAATAATAATAATAATAATAGTAAAAAATTAATAAATTACTATTTAGTGACGGATTTGTGACGGAAATAATACAAATTAATCTTTTTGTCAGTTCCGTAGCTATTCCGTCGGTATTTACCGACGGATTTCTGACGGATTTGTCCTCCGTCGGTATTCTGTAGGTATTCCGTCACAATATTGTCAGTAATTTAGGGCATCGTTTTCCGTCGTAATTTCGTAGGTATTCCGTCGGTATTTTCCGACGGAAAATTTCCGTAGGAGAATTTCGTAGGTATTTTTAATTTTTCTAGTAGTGTTAGTAGATAGAATAGAAACTGAATGTGATTTGTTTAGTAGATAATGCAGGTAATCTCTGGCTAAATAATTATATAAAATTGATCAAAACCTGGACCTGAGTTCACACGACTACGAATACATTTCTTATATTATATTCTTAGTTTTGGTACCTTGAAATTTGGTATTTTTACTGTTAGTAACTCAGAACCTAAACAACCAAAAGTATTATCTTTTTGAGTAGTAATGAATTAACAGATGTACCATTTACTCGATATTTATCACATAAAAATCATTCATCCAAACAAATGACTTATGTAGGTTTTACTGTTTGTTTAGGTTTTATTTTAATTTTTATATTTGGTTGGTTGCAAGTTAGACACAAAATACCTACAGTGTAACATCTTTAGGTTATATACAAATAATTCGCTTAGATAACCATCTATTGAGGAGTAAGTTTCTTCCTACCATTAATCTCCCTTCTTGATAAAATAATCATTTGTCACATGTCACTTTCTATATTCATTTTTCCTTCAAACTGATTTGACCATATTGTTGCTTTCCCATTTATAAGTTTTTGATGATGTCTATCTTTCTTAGTTGAATCGTTTTAATATGTAATTAGGATGTTGTGTTCAAATTTATATGTTTTTTAGATGTGACTCTATTCATATTTGACTCTGATGTGCTCTATTCATATTACAAAATCCACAAAGATAAAACCGATATTCGTTACCCCACAAATTCGTTTCCATG